TAACGATAATAGACTCTTCCTGACACTATAAATACTGCGCCTCTCAAGAGGTATAATGAATGAACGGTGTAACGAGCACCAGGTCATGATTGTTGAACTCTGCTTTGGCAGAGAACCCAGACGAACCCAGACGAAGCAGGTTTCGTAGATGAGGTAGATGGCCCTGAACCCGTCCTAGGCGGGTTCAAAGGGTATATTTTTGGCCAAACCTACGGGCTCGGGAAACCCACGTTAAACTTGGCCTTGTGCCACATGCAACCCTCGCGGGGTGGGGGGGGATAGATACCGAATGAATGGTGTAACGAGTCGAGACAATATTAGTTCACTCTAAACCAGACGGACAATCATTACTAACACCTTCAACTTCTTGTATTATATTTCTGTTGTAATATATCTTTGTTATTCTACTCTTGTGTTTGTGTTGTTCTTCCTTGGTTCTAACCTTGGAGCATAACTGTGGTGCGAGGATATTGGACCATAACAACTAGGATATTAGTCTAAACAACTCATATATATATATATGTTAACTTTGTAGATTCACTGTAGAGTATAAGGCCACAGTCTCATTACACTAGGTGTTGCTACTACAGTTTTTATAGCAACAGCTTTTTACAGGGTAGAGTTGTTAGCCCCATACACACGTTCTTTATATTCAGTTATCTTTCTCCTAGACTGGTAGCCAATCAAAGCTCTAGAGCCCAGTCTTGAACTGCTATTAAGCCCTAGATATGGAGTCATATCTTTTCAGGTGTATTTATGGGAAAATGAATGTAATGGCCTCAGATAGAATTTGAATTGATTCAGCTTTCCACACTGATAACCCCTAAACTACATGCACATTTTTGTTTTTTAATCATTTCACCCACCAAGCATGTTGAGTGAAAGAATCTGGGAAAAAAAGGAGAGAGGGTTTCAAAAAGACAAAAGATAATAGCTGACAATGAATTTAAATTTTTGGAGATCAAAGTTGTCTGGAAAGCAAGAAGCCTGAAAAAGACTTCTACAAGCGAGTGAAGAAACTGTTAGCAATTTCAACTGTGAAATGAGGAGACCTAACTGCCAATCTAGTATTGCACTTAAATTTGTAAAATTCGGGGTACCAAAGAGGAAAGCTAATCAGAGCAATTATGAAAATATTTATAGAAAAGGCACAGGGAAGCTATGTTACATGATTGGAAAAGTGACTGAAGCAAAAATACCAGGTCAGGGCCAATAATATTGCAGAATCACAACACCCTAAAGAACTCATAAAATAATGACAGTGACTTGTTTTAGAGTGTCAGTCAATAGAAAAAATGCTGAAGAACACATCATCCCAAATGTAGTAAAATCAATAAAGATGATGATATTAGTCAAGACAGCTTATGAATCAATGATAATGACTTATCTCGGAAATCAGAACATTTATTAAGGTATTGAATGTTGCCAAATTATCACCACACATTAAAATGTCTTAAATTCACTTTTGTAATCTTTTATGAATCCTAGATTAAGGAAATTCCACTAATGCCTTTTATCCACTGGGCCACAGAATGATCCAAAAAGTGTCTTGACCAAAAATCTTGTGAGTTCAATACCTGGCCGCAACAGAAGGAACAAAAACTTGGAGAGTTGATTTACTAAGAGAAATTAACTGAAACTGAGATATCCAAAGGAATGGCATGTGGAATTAGAACAATCTACTTCCATGTATATCACCTGAATAAGACTGAAGCATACAACAGCCAAAACATTGTGAATATGACAATAAAGATGAGGACAATAGTCCAAACAATGTAAATAGTTACAATAACTCATGTTAGGAAAATAGGTTTTTTTTTCTCTCTTTTTTACTAATGTTCATCCAGTAAAAGGCTCAAGAGCTACTCAAGGTAGAATGTTACTGAATGAGGTGGGTGATATGAACATAAGTAAAGTAGGATAGATAACAACTGACCCTAGACTACAAGAGGGTTAAGATTCTAAAGCATCCACTCAGAAGTCTGTTCTACAAAGGTTCTTAGGAAGAAGCTGAATGAAACTTCCTTCTTATGAATTGAATACAGAGGGGATGAGGATGATTCAACCCTGTGGATGTAGCAAGAGGACTCTGAGCTGTAAAGGTTTGAATTGTGACTCTAAAATATGGTGCTTGTCTGAATATTTGTCATGGAAGCAGAAACAAAATGGCTATATTTTAGAATTCTTTCCGTAAGACTTTCAAAAACAAGAGTCTAAAGCTGATTGATCAAAAGTTGATTAAATTTCAAGGTAAACAAAATTTTATTCGTTGAATTTCTGTTGCTTTCATTCCATGAAGCGATTTTTCTTCCTCCTTCATAGTTAGTTCTAAATTGTTTATCTGAAAATGATAAAGACTCATTTTTGAATTTCAGACAATGTCTTCTTAAAAAATCCCCTTAGGATTGCTCAAACAATCAACAGAAACATATTGGATTTTTTTTAGGAGCTTTTTGAAATTCATTCTGTCACTGGAATAAATATCATCAAAATATATAATCTTTTCCCTCTCATTTGAAATATAGGTATTTTTTTAGATTCTTTAGACAAATTCATTTCATTATTATTATTATTATTATTTGTGTATGTTATGTTTCCTGCTTTGTATCCTATAAAGCCAGGTCCAAACTATGGTCCTTAGGCCCTGTAGAAGAATTGTCATTCAATTAATAGCACTTTTCTTAGTATATGGAATGTTCTGAGTAGGGTGATCTTCTAGGCAACTTGTCTATTGATGTTACCTGGGACACAGTTAGAAAAATTGTCATGAGGCACAGAGCTCCGATTTCTACTGCTAAAGGGTTACTGTGAGTGAGAGAATTCGAAAACAGAAACATTATTGAGGAGTGAGAATAATGGAAAATTAATAAGGGAGACAGTAGATAGTTATTGACATTGCATTTAAGCTTTTGAAAGTTGGCTGGAAAGTATTCATCTGAAAAGAGTGTTCCCCAAGCAAGAAAAGAAACCGTTAGCACAGAACATACAGTTACATCTCAGCCAATTCAACTGCAAATTAATGAGACCTTGCTGCCAATCTAGTACTGCACTTACATTCATAAAGTCTAGGTACCATACCATAGAGCTCATCCGAACAATTACCATGAAAGTATTTATAAAAAAAAGACACAGGGAAACAACTTTATGGTGGTAGGAAAGGGATTGAAGCATAGATGTCAGGTCAGGACCAATAATATTGCTGATTCCTCTTTGGATTTTATCAACAATCTCTAAATATATAGCAAGAGTACTAGACCATATGTGGCAGCAACATTCTAAGCATGGATGAATGATTTATAGATATGTGAGATAGATTCTGGAGAGAAATATCTTGCACGATACAGTGAACCAATTTTCTTAGCAGTTTACCAAGCAATGGATTCAATATAATCTTTCCACTTCATAGCAGCAGAGAATGTTAGCCCAAGAAGGCGCAACTCCTTTAGATTCCATTTTATTTAAAGTGTACTTAAAAAAAAATCTTTTAATGTTGTTACTGTTATGTTTTGCCTATATCTCTGCATAGTAGTAGTCGTAATACAGTTTTCCATGTCCCGAATAGCAACCGGGTTTGCTAGAGATAACCACTATATGTTCGCCAGTTGTTCTCTATTTATACTTGTCTATCTAATTTGTATATGATATTACAGCTACACTCAGTAATCTTTTTACCCCAAATGAATCATAATTTTTCATGAAGGGAATTTTCCTATTTAAACATCTTCATAGAATAATATAAGAATTTTTATAGATTTCATGATGTATAATTGATATTTTTTAAAACTATATAATTCTTTCACTTCCAACTCACATTGGCAAAGAAAAATTTAAAATACAAGGCATTTATTTGAAGTCTCATTGTACCCAAACAGTCACAGTTACTTGACCTTTGATTTTAATAAAGATAACTTACAAAGCTATCTAAAACAAAATAAAGTTTAATTTTTATTTGTTACAGTCAATAATCCTGTTTATGAGAAATTATATGTATAACTGGGAAGAATTTGTTTGTATTTTTACTATACATGGTAAAATTATTTCATGTCCAGCCCTTAGATTTACTATGTAAACTTACTGAATCCAGTGGAAGGTTTTAATGAAAAGAAAATATTTCTCAAAATGAAAAAAAGAATATCTGTCACTTTTCTGTTTTATGGATTTATCTTTTAGAGTAACAATTACTATTTGTAACCATTAAGTGTAAGACTATAATCCTGTGTAGTTTAAACAAACCCCGTGAGAAAGCATTTTAATATCCTCTGCCTGAGTTCACTTAACTCATTCTCTATCTGCAAGCAAACTATTTGTTCTTAGCTCAACTTATGAATGATTTATAGATCTTCTCTGTGTAGATCAAGCTTTTCTGTCACTTTTCTGTTTTATGGATTTATCTTTTAGAGTAACAGTTACTATTTGTAACCATTAAGTGTAAGACTATAATTTCTCTTTTATTATTAATATCTGGAGAATAAAAATATTTGTACCTTATAAAAATAGTTTCAGTGAATAATTTTTCCCTTGAGAATATATTTTTTTAGTTTTCATTGGAAACTTACAAGTTGCAACTAGAATATGTTCTGTTTTTTTGCTTATGCAAGTAATGTTGACAAAACAAGTATTGATGAAATAGAACTATAAATAATAATAATAATGTTTTAACTGACAACTAAAATGTAAAATAGTTATTTCTTAGTTATAAATTTTGTATGTTTCAGCTTGGAATCAAAAGTTATGTGGGACAAATTCTCAGGGCCAAGAAATTATTTTACTGTCATTTCAAATGACAGAGAAAGGTAAATCATGTTTACAAGATTTTCAACAAGATTTTCAAACAAGATTTTAAACAAGATTTTCTTCTGAAGTTGTCATTCAAAGTTGATTCTGAAAGAAGGGGTTTTGTTCTAAATACCACGGAAGATAATGCCTTATTATCTATCTATTAATTTATTTAACTTGGCTTCAGAAGATTACAACATTTGGTTAAATTATTTTTCTAAATCTCAATTTGTATCCATTTTTCCAGATAGATAGATAGATAATAAAGAAACCATGATAGATAGATAGATAGATAGATAGATAGATAGATAGATAGATAGATAGATATCAACAGACTGAGAAAATAGATGGGCAGATTGGGATAGATAGATAGATAGATAGATAGATAGATAGATATGAAGAGACTGAAGTAGATAGATATTAACATAAAGCGATAGATAAATATGTATATGGATAGATATTAACATACAGACTTAGATAGATAGATAGATAGATAGATAAGAAAAGGACCATGATAGATAAATAGACAGATAATAAAGAGACCAGATAGAAAGAAAGATACAGATAGATAATAGAAATAGATACCACCTGATAAATAGATAATGCTACCTGATAGATAGATAGATAGATAGATATGAGTTGGGTAGATAATGGCTCTACAGATTCTTCCAAAACAATGATCTATATTAAAAGATTAGTGAACTGATCAGACCAAATTCAAATGATTTTCTTTCTCGCTGCATAAAATTTAGCTTCTTTCTCTCAACCGATTTTGGCATTCTTCCATATTGTTTTTTCCATCTCCTATGCTTTGCTTGTTTGACTGTCATTTAACAATGGCTTCTCTTCATCTTTCTGGAAATAGAAAAAAAAAGACATTTCAGAACTGTTTTCTACTACTTTATTTATTTCTACTTAATTCATTATTATTACTTACTAGATTAGAAGGGAGAAGAAAGGACAATAAAAGAATATGATTCTAGAAGACAGAGGATGTCAATTTTTAAGTTTTTGAAGATCATATGCCACAGGGAAACAAGAAATCAGAAGGGACTTCCACAGGTAAGAAGTGCAAGAAAAGAAACTATTGAAATAGAAGTTAGCAGTTGCATTTAGCTAGTTTAATAGTAAAACAGTGAGACCTAATCGCCAATCTAGTAGTATGCTTAAATTCATGCAGTCAAGGTACTAAGGATAAAAGCTCATCAGAACAATTGCCATGAAAATATTTGCTGAAAAGACAGAGAAAACCCACGTCACAACGGTAAGAAAGTGACTAAAGTCGAGCATTTAGGTCAGGATTTATTATATTACAAACCCTTCTTTGAATTTTGTCAAAAATTTCGAGATATATTGCAGGAATACCAGACTAGATATGGCAGCAATATTCAATGCCCGAACAAATGTTAGATTCATAAATGTGCAAGATGGATTCTAACAAAAATATTTTTACATGGATAAATAAACACCAAAATATTTTCGATATTTCAGTCTTCCGTATTCGACTTATACACAAATATGATGAATTATATATAGGGAATTCTATTCATGTTTGAAACTAAGAGTTGCACCTAACCTCTTCCATCTATTTATTATAATATAACATACATTTGCATCTAGCTAGTTGAAATAGTAAAACTGTGTGACCTAATCGCCAATCTAGTCGCACGCTTAAATTTGTGCAGTCGAGACGCCAAGAAGGGAAGCTCATCAGAACAATTGCCGTGAAAATATTTGCTGAAAAGACAGAGAAAACCCACGTCATAAAGTTAAGAAAGTGACTAAAGTCGAGCTTCTAGGTCAGGATCTTACAGACCTTTCTTTGAATTTTGTCAAGAATCTTGAGATAGTTAATAGGTGCACCAGATCAGATATGACAGCAATATTCAATTCACGGACAAATGGCAGATTTATATATGCGAGAGATGTATTACAATGAGAAAAATTGACTGACATAACACAGTACACCAGACACAGCAATTGATTCAGTATAATCCTACTGCTTTATGTCAGTAGAAAACGTGATTCCAAGAAGGTGTAAAGGGTTGTCCTGCTGAAGGTTAGCATCAGCTATGTTGACAGCAAGCCGAAATGTTCCTCTATGATGATTAAATAAAAGCAGTTTTGTTTTGGAGGCGTTATAATTTACAAGCCATTCCTTGCTCCAGTTAACCATTGATTGCAGCTCCCTTTCAAGAACAGTTACCAGTTTGATTTTGTCAAACCTGTTGGACTTGCTACTAAAACAAGAGCAAATAGATGTGCCATCGGCATCATTACCTAGTTGGGAACTGATAGCATTGGAAAAATCGTTGATGAAGATAAGAAACAATATAGTTCCAAGGACAGAACCCTCCACATTAATTCAAACAGAACTAAAAGCATAGCTGTTCAACACGACCTTTATTACACGATATGTTAGGAATGATTGGATTAAGCCAACTATCCGTCCAAAGACACTGTAGTCCTTGAGATCGTGGGGAAAGACAGCATGCAAACGCCAAATGTCTTTGAGATATTTACAGCCTGAGCGTCACCGTTCTTGTCACAAGCTTGATAGACAACTTCAGTGATAGCTTTTAACACATCGGCAATAGACCTGGAGAAATGGAAGTGATATTGTTTATTCAAAAGGAGGCCATGTCAGGTAAGATGCTTTTAAAAAAATTGGCATTGATTAGAGTCTCTATAACTTTGCCAAAAAACTAATAATTCAAGGGTGTCAGAATTTTCTTAAAGACGGGAACTACAAAAGAAGACTTCCAACAAGCAAGAAACAGCAAGGCATTTATTGTGAAGTTTTGAGAGAACAGGATCCAGTTCAGGAGCACATTTCTTTTGAACAATTGCACGGATACTGTCAAATCCATAAGCATTGTGGAGATCTAGTTTAGAAATAATAGCAGAAACTATAGACAGAGTTATGTGTATATCACTCAGTAAAGATTCTATTCTAGGGGGGGGGATTCAGGTAAAAATACTCCTTATGAGTTGAGAGTGGAATTAGAGGAGAATTTTAGAGTAAAACCACTTGCAGTAGATGACAATACCTCAAACTGATTGAAGAGAGAATTTGCTCTTGTCTAACAGACTCTTACAGAGGCCACGATTAATCTCTTGAACCAAGCATATGAAAGGCTATATGGTGTCTTATTTTATCAGCAGATAGTGATTTTGCATCTTTGGGGAGGCGCTTAGTTTTTATATGTGAATTTTACAAATATTTTCTAATTATTATATCAATGTACAAATTCTGGAAGGAGCGATTTATTACTTAATAATAATAGATAACTGATCCCCCAAATCCAGCCCAGTTGAATCTTATATTAATATTGGTTTACCCATGCTGTCAAAAATGGTGGCATATATGAAATTGATAGTTTGTTAAGTCTTTACTATTATTAAACAGATTTTACCTTTTTTTTAATCATTTCACCCAAAACAAGGTGATAAAGCCACTAAGACACAAAGGGTTACTTAGAATGAAAGGAACTGAGAAAATGTTATTTAGGAGAAAATACAATAAAAGAACAGGATTTAAAAAAATCAAAAAGACAAAGCATGATAATGATGTTGCATTTAAATTTTATTTTTTTATTTGCATTTTTAAGAAAACATGAAGTCGGAAGAGAGTTCCATAAATGAGAAATGTAAGAGGAAAAAATATTAAAATAGAAATTTTTATAACATTTCATAATTTCAACAGTAAACTTGCCAATCTAGTACTGCATGTAAATTTGTGAAGTCAAAGTACAAAAGAAGAAATCTCATCGGAACATTTACCATAACAAAAAAATATTTATTGGAAAGGCACAGGGAAGCTATGTTATGGCAGTGGGAAAATGATTGAAGCCGGAATGCCAGGTTAGTGCCGATAACATTGCAGATTCTTCTTTGGGTTTTATCGAGAATCATTAGATACATAGCAGAAGCGCCAAACCAGTTGTGGCATCAATATTCAATGAACGAACGAATGGTGGGCTTACAAAGGTGTAGGATAAATTCTGGTGATAAAAATTATCAGGAACGAGAAAGTGAACCAACATTCCTTGTAGCAGACTTAGGAATTGATCGAACGTGAGTTTTTAAATATGCAAATCCTTCTGGTTATCGTTTTCATATTCTTCTCTTTTATGGAGCCAATCTTTTTATCTCCCAGGAAATTATGAGAAGTTATTTTGTGGGGCAGAGTCTCCACCATTCCCATCCTTACCCCGGGACATGAATATCAAAGAAACCGGAATTTGGGAATGATTACTTACCTTTGTTGATTCTGGAATGTGCCGAAGTAATAAGGTAAATGGACAAAACACCAAGTCAAGAATTGCAGCGCCATAGACCAACCTGCAGACAGAAAGAGATATGTTATAAGTTCGATCCCAAATGGCAGACATAGAAAGGACACTGATAACAATACCCAACATATGACCATGTTTTAATTATGCAAATATGCTTTATCCATTGTTAATAATATTAATAATATTCACATAATGTTACATTGGCACCTGAATCTTACTTATTATAAAACGCAGATTGTGTGTGTGTGTGTGTGTGTCTGTACGTTTATATATTGGATCGGATTTCCTACATTTTTCAACCGATTTCAACAAAACTTCACAGGACGGCGTAAAATTACCTTGCGGTGGTTCTGACAGCGCCAAAAATAGGAAAAACGCAATTGTTTTTGCACGAAATCAATTTGAAAACACGATTAAGAGAAATCGCGAGAATGAACTCATATCGAGTTATACTTATTATAAAACCCAGGTTGTTTCTGTGTTCGTTTATATATGGGATCGGATTTCCTACATTTTTCAACCGATTTCAACAAAACTTTTTTTTTTTTGGCAGGTAGTGTTTCTTATTGTCTTGCACACTTTTTTCTTTATTTTTACATTCAGAATGCTTTAAAAAATCCATTTACAAGACAATTGTTTATAATAAAATTCTATTCAATCTGTAGACTCATAACGATTGAAAACAATGTTTTTGTTTGAGTTTGGGTTTGACCAATTCGTAAAAAAAAAAAAAACTAATTAAGACATGCGTGTCCGTCAACCTTAAACAATTATCTTTGCCAATTTTATTTTTCAGTCTTTATGATGGTCGATACTTGATCTATCTCTTACTGTTACATCCCCTGGCAACGCCGGGCTCTACTGCTAGTTGCAGACATACTTATCAGTTTTTGTGGTTTTTTTTTTTTTTTTTTTTAAATAATGAGTTAAAGACCAATTTTTCATATTAAGTTATACGTTTTAAGCATTTCATCAAGGCAGGAGTGCTACTAGTATGCAGTGAGTTACAGAGAATGAAAGTGAGACAAAAGACTGTATCTAGAGGGGATTGGGGAGAGGATAAAAGAAGAAAGGGTATCAAGGCAACAGAAGATGACGATTGACGCTGCATTTAAATATTTAAAGATTGTAGTTATCAGGGAAGTATGTAAGGGGAAGGGAGTTCCACTGTAGGGAAGTGCGAGAAAAGAAACGGTTGGAGTAGAAGTAGCGGTTACATTTAACTATTTCAACAGTACAAGGGTGGGACCTAGATGCCAGTCTAGTAGCACGATTTAATTCATGTAGGGTACCAGGGAAAAAAGCTCGTCAGAGCAGTTGCCATTAAAATGTTTCTAGAAAAGACAGAGAGAAGCCACATCACGTCTGTGAGAAAGTTGAGATGTCAAGTTATACAGTGTCACGCAAAAGTTTGCAACACATTACAAAAATGTTTTTAGGTATTTCTAATACAGTTACATTTGTTGGGGACGTGCAGAATTTATTAATTATGCTTGAAAGAATCAGAAGGAATTTGTGTAGGTTGCGTGACTTTCTGCGTCCACAACAAATAAATAAACGAAATTTAAAATACGATTAAGAACAAGACATATTCAATTAGAAACTAATATAACATTTGTATACAATTCAAAACAATATACAAGCAGGATAATTGGTATATGTTATGTTGGCAAAAAGTGTTTGATGTTTTAGATTTCAGAATGTCTCTCTTTGTAATCGTTCGTTCATTTGCAGTCCGTTTTAGATTTGTGTTGACATTAAAATTGTTAATATTAAGTGTCTTTTTAGAAGGAGTTCTTAAGGAGTGATCTACCTTTGACTGTAATGTTTTTAAGGTCGTTCGCACATTGATGTTACTTAATAGGTAGTGAATATAATTCACTTTAGATAAGCAATGTTTCAGAATCGATGTCCACAGAGTTGGTTGAGTTTTAATTGTGAGTGAGTCAGCCTTGATGTACGTTTGCGCGGTAAAAATCGTGATTTCGAGTGACGTGGAGTATGTTGGCAATTTCTCTGTGGGTGTTCGTCACTGACTGCTTGGGGCAGTCGGCGTTTACTTTTATAAGTCCTGAAAGTCCGAAATTGGCTCACGGAGTTTTTGGCGCAATTTCGTTTTTGCACGTGAACTTTCAGATTATTGTGTCATTAACCGATGAGATTGGTTGATTCGCATAGTGCGGTTTTTATTGGTTGAAGTTTTCCGTGCGTAGGCGTAAGATATAGCCTGTTCTGTTGCTAGGGGTGATAGGTAGGAAAAAGACGAGTCTAAATATTCATTACATTTTTTAACTGCTCGTAGAACATATATTTAGGTATTCAGTCAAACAATCTGATTTTTATCGCAAAGTAACAGTATAAATGTGTGCGTGATTAGTTGGAAGTAAAACAAGAATTCCTTACGCTTCAAATCCGAATGAATAGACAACAGGGCCTCCAATCAGTGGACCTAAAAAGTATAAAACAAACACAACAATCAATATAACTATCAATATAAAATATTTACATGTTCAATAAAATGTATTTCTTTTTTCTTATGAGTTAAGTTTATAACAATGGCAGAGATTGTTTCGATTCAATTATATGATCATGTCTTTGGAAGAGTGAATATAATCTCCATGAAATTTAGCATAAAGACAAGATAAGTAAATATTTAGTTTCACTTATAATTAAAAAAAAATAAAATTTCTTTTCTAGATATATAACAATAACTTCTTCTTCAGAACATAGGTGATCATGGCTTTCCACAATTTTCTATCCCTTGTGACCTTTAACTGTTTTTCTCCTATTGATAAGGTCCTTACCTCTTGTTTCACCATCCACTCACACAGGCTAGTCAGGTAGGTAGCTCACTAACTTTCCCAATCTCTCTTGCGCTCAATATGTCCCGTGAGGGTTAAGTTTTCTAAGCCCTCCTTCCTCATTATGTCTTCAAGGAATTTCAGCTGCCTCTTCCTGATTCTGAGTATACGTGTTCTTTTCATTGCCATTTTCTTCAAGACGTCCATTTTGCTTATATGCTCGCGTGAGAAAAGCTTTTTTTCTATGTGCAACAATTTGTAGTGCGAACGGCTTCTTTTATATGCAATGTTTCTTCAGGACGTGGGCGATCATGGTTCTCCACAACTTCCTATCTTTTCTAGTAACTTTTGACTCCTTAACATCTCTCTTTCTCCTTCATTTGCACAAATTCGTTTAGACTACTTGCTGTTTTCTCCTGCTTCACTTGCCTTCTATATGTGCTGTGAGAGTTAGATTCTCTAGGTCTTCTATCCTCGTTAGGTGTCTCGTTCTGATTGTAAGTATACGTTTCTTTGTAGTGCCTATTTTCTTTAAAACTTCCTCTTGGTCTATCCATGGCATTATCCGAATTCATGAGTAAAACCACGTCACTGTCGCCTCAAGAGTCTCTTCTTCATCTGTGAAGAGATTGTACAGCATTTACTACCGTATAGGAGATATTATATCACAGTTCACTACACCTTTCCTTGTTTCTAACGAAATTTTAATAATTTACTAATATATTTGGGCACTTCTACGTGGTGCAATGGTTAACGAGCTTTTCTCATTAGATCAATTAAGACTGATAAGTGAGTTCAAACTTACTAGGTGCTCCATACTTTCAGCCTTTGTGCCACATCGAAGCTATGCTTAGAAAATCGTCATATTAATAATATATATATATATATATATATATATATATATATATATATATATATGCATGTTTCATTAAAAACGACAGACAAGGTACTACGGTTGAGCTTTTTATTTAATTTTTCTTGTGTTCTGACAAGAGCTTTCTTTTCTGGACAAAGGGTGTGTAAGAACTGTCCAAATGTTTTATATTTCCGAGCGCTTTCGGCTATATCTTTAGCCATTATCAAGGATGATTCGATTTTCAGTTTAGTTGAGTGTGTGTGTTCTGTGTATGTATCAGTGTGTGGTAGGGATGTTTTTAATTTCCGAATACGGTTAGCACATTGTGGCTTTGTTCGTAGTTAATATGGTTAAGAGTAGGCTTTTTCCTTTTTATTATTAAAGCTTCCATTATTTTTAGTCTTTTTTTGCAGGTGGATGCAGTTAATATATTTGTGTTTTCTACTAGTATGTTTCTAATGGAGTCTGGTAAATTTGTTTGTGTCTTTAAATGGGTTCTAATGGAGCTGTGATCAGATAGGTGTAACGTAAGACGTCTGGATAATCATGTGGTTTATTCATGTGTCCGGTTAATAAAAAGCTTAACCGCAGTACCTTGTCTGTCATTTTTAATGAAACATGCATAAAGGAAGGATTGCTGCCTAAATATACAACTATCATATATATATATATATATATATATATATATATATATATACAAGTTAATTGCATTATACCCAACGACAATTCTTTTTGTTTTGCTTTTTTCCTTGTTCATTTTCCTCCTTTTGATAAATATGTCTGTGTATAAATAGGTTATAAAATCCAGATAAAGTTTTATACATTTTTATAACATTACTATGTCGATAATTTTCTGTATCTGCTTGAAATCGACGTCCCCAATATGTAATTCACAATTTGGTCTGTCTCTTTTGCTGACAACTACACATTGTCTACTTTCAGTTAATAGTCTTATTGTCTTGCTAAAAGAAACAAAAGAAAACACGGAAAAAAAAAGGATTGGCGTGTTATATTCAACCAGACACTTTGCATTCATTTTCGCACAAATACCCGTAGAAACATAGGAATCTATTTCTTTTCAGGGTAGAACTGGTCCCCCTCTCCGTAACTTGGTTGAGAACCATTCTAAGAGAACAAGGACTTTTAATTCAAACCTGGTTGAACGTGGCTCTAGCAACTCCACCCATGTAAAACCTGATACGGAAACAATTGCAACAATACCTCGCGCGGCGAAACTGCGTCTCTGTACATCACAGGGGAGTCACCAGAGTTAATATAACATACAGTTGATTGTCTCTCTTTAAAGAATATTATTAAAGTAAAGAAATCACTTACCAAGACTCATGGATAAACAGACTGCCATATCAGAAATTGCATAAACATTCCCATAGACTTCTGTGTGTCGTTTGTCAACGACAAGAGCGAAAATTGGTTGCATT